GTAATGTCCAATGCCCTGAGGAGCCCCTTGACTTCAGGGGGGGTGACTCTAATCTGTGCCCCTAAGTCCCCAGCCTCATCTAATCTCCTATGTGGATATCCCCCGTCCTGCTTTGGGGAGAACACAGAGGCAAAATAGTCATTTAGCATCTGTGCCTGTTCCCTCCCATCAGTCACTGGATCCCCTTCCTCCTTATTTAGTGGTCTCGCCACTTGTCTCCCCTTCCTCTTCCCCTTGGAAGAGAGACCCCTTGCTTTCCTCTTCTAAAGCTATCCAGATGGGTGGCCATCCGTAAATCTTGTGGCAGCAGATTCCACAGTGCGGTGCTGCGCTGTGCGAAGAAGCCCTTCCTTTTGTCTGTCCCGAATCTCTTCCCAGTTGGCTTCACGGGATGTAGGTTGGAGTGCAGTTTCTCCTGGTAGAGGGCACCGATGGGATGGCCCTTTGGGTTCTGGTATTTAGGGATTCTCCGCACTTTGGGTTCTAGCATTTAGGGATTCCCTCCGTCTTGAGTCCCCACAACCTGCCTCCACTCATGCTGGTTTTAAGGAAGACGGCAGCAGCGGCACAGAGGGGCACCAGGTGTCCAGCATGGCCCTCTGCTGTGCCCTGAGCAGCCGCCTGAGCTGCAGCGATTGGCCAGTGAAACTCTTCGCGGCCTGGAGAGAGGCCACACGATCACCTGTGAATGGATGCAGGTCAGTGCGAGACAAGCTTTCAGAACTGCTCGCTGCAAGATGCTGGGACAATTGCTCCGTTGGCTAACAATGATGCAGTGGCCCATCGGCCACCCACATCGAGAGACACGCTGCCTCCAAAGACCAAGTGCTGGTGGATTAGCATGGGAGAGGCTGCTTCACGTCCCAGAGGTTGCCATCTGGCTGGAAAGGGAAGCAGCCCAGAGGAGCCCTTGGCCTGATCCAGCAAAGCCGTTCTACAGTGCTTCACAGCCATGATGGATCCCTGTGTTCAGAGACAGTATACTGGGGTGAGGAGCCTCTGGCTCAGGGGAGGCCTGGGTGCAGCCCCGGGAGGCTCCCCCTCTGACACACAAACTTCTTCCGCTGTCTCCACTCAGTGATCAGAAATGAGAGGGCATTTAGCAGCTGTTAAACCTGACGCATAATCCGAGCCCTGCTTTACTGGCCTTAGGAGAGCTTGTGCAGAACTCTGGCTTAGTGGGACCGGGGGCCATAAAGAGCAGGGACATTGGACAGAAAACTGGAGAACAGCTCAGAGCAGGCTGAGCAGCGTACAGGAGGGCCCCCTCGAAGGCCTGTGCCGTGGCAGGAGGCTGCCATCACGTTCTCACCGACAGCTGGACGATGTCGCATTGTCTAGCGCGTGGAAGGCCCGTTGCACCAGAATGTCAGAGAGGGGAGCAGCCGGGGGCTTGCTGTGATGGATGTGCTGTTCCCCGGCGGGTGAAGTCACTCGGACTGGTCTGATCGCAACTCCAGTGCCAGGGCAGCTTCGGGCGATGGCAGCTTGGCTGCTGCCTTCACAGGTCTGCAGCATTCCTTTTGGCTCGCAGATCCAAAGATGGTGGGCAGGAGTTGGGGGCAGAGACAGCCGCCTCCAGTATGATTAAATGGGCCGGGGGAACTGATGCTGCAGCTGAAGGAGCTGAGGGGGGCAGCGCTCCTGCTGAAAAGGGGCAATGAGGGCAGCAACAAGCAAACACTGCACTGGCCAAGACCTTTACTGAAGAAAGTTCTTCTTGACCTGGGGCTGGGCTGTCTAACGACAAGCCAGGTTCAAATGACCCAGTGGCCCAGGCGGCTAAGAAGGGGGTGGTGTTGCAGCTCCAGGCCCATTTCAGTGGGGCTTTTAATGGGGATGTAGGGCAGGGACTACTTTGGTAGGCTGCTTGCAGGCTGGCCAGCCCAGAGAACTGGCAGGAGAAGCCCATCAGCATGCTCGCCATTCTCCCAAGGACTGGCAGGCGCCCTTCAGCCCCACTGGCCCCGTGCCCTCCGCTGCTCGCTGGCACGGCACCCGTGGGGGCTCTTTGCCACAGTGCCCATCCTTTCTGTCGGACTGCGTCCGGAAGGCGGTGCTTGTCCCCATGGCAGTCAGCCTTGGCCTCCCACAGTGAGCCAGCGTCTTCCCCAGCACTTAATATCGACACGAAACCACTGGGAGCGCTGAAGGATGGTGCCACCCACATGCTGGCCACGCCACTCCCAAGGCCCCTTGTCACCGTGCGCCAAGGAAGCCCCAAGCGGGGTGCAGGGTTGGTACAGGGCTGGTTCCGGATGAAGCAGAGGCTGAGCTCAGGCAGAAGTGCCGTTCTCAGAGAAACTCTGCCTGGAGCACCCGAGTTCAGCCCCTTCTGGAAGGCGCTTGGCTCCCCAGAAGGAGCGGGGCTGCGGCTGGGCGTGCTCCTTGGTCCTCCGCGGTCCCTGGCCTTCAGCTGGCAGCCCTGGCTGGGCATGTGTTTGCCCAGCCAGCAGATGGAGGGACAGACTGAATGCCCTGCCTTTTCAGCAAAACTGATGCTCATGGCAGCTATGGCAGAATGCTGGTTAAAAACAAACCCTTAATTCAACTTAACATAAAAGCATTATCCACAAAAGCCAAACAGACTGTAACAATTAAAAAGCCGGTACTCAACCAGTGAAAACCCCTTCAGCAGCAGGGCCACTCAGATGCCACCAATGTTTTTAATATCTGATCAGTGTTCAGGTAGTTGAAGAAAGAAGTTTCTGGGGGTCCAAATGCCATCCAAGCCTCCCCACCTGCTGTCTCAGCTGCAAACTGGTCTAGGAAAGAGCTTTTGCCGAGCCCCAGAAATGAAGGCAGAGATGGCACCTCTGGCCGATAACGGGAGCCACGGAGCCCTGGCTGCTGGGAAGAGGCTGTGCTGAGGCTCCCTCGGGGGCTCTTTGGCCCCCCACCCACAGAGCCTCTCTGTGCAGCCCTCTGCCCTGGCCCTGGCCCTGCCCCTGCCCACTGCGCTGGCATCCCAGCCCAGTCGGCAGCTCTGGCAGGGGAGGAGGGACAGCCCCACAAGCGGCCAGGCGACTTTTAAAGGTACAAGCACGGGGTTGGCTGCCTCTGCCACCAGCGCTCCTTATGCGGGCTGCCCCCCCCCCCGGCTTGCCCCCCCAGGCAAATTAGCTCCAGGGGAAACATCACCAGCTCCTCTGTGGGGGGCTGGAGGAGCATGCCACCATGCCCCACAGTGCCCTAATTCGAGTGGGCCCGCTTCCCACGGTGCTCTCCGAGGCTTAACATGCTTTGCTCTCCTACGCTAAGGAGCTTGTGCTTCAAGCCCCTTTGCACCAGCAAAATCTGCAAATGTTTCTAAGACTCCGAAAGTTTCGTGACAAAGGCTGGCCTGCCAAGCAGACTTACGTATTTGTTCACTGTGCTGCATAAAACGCGCAACGCTTTCCAGCACCGCTGGCCAGTTTTGCAGCTGCACTTCTTTGCAGGAGATTCAGGAAGCCCTCGCTAGATATGAACAGCCTTGCAAGGCGCGTGCAGGAGGTACGGATCGGAGCTGCCTTGCCAGAGGTGCCCTCTACACCCCAGTGCACAACAAGGCCAAGCAGCGGCCCTTCTGCTCCAGGAAGCAACTGGGGAGCGGGCGCAGGCCGTTCTATCTGTGCCAGTGAAACAAGCCTCGGGCAGGTCCCCAGACGCCTCGCTTCAGCCCTCAGCTGTCATCATACGTCATCAGTGCTCCTCCAGATGCTACGCTGGGCAGCCCAGCCCCAAAATTGTAAGCCGCCTAGGAAGGCCTCGGCAATTATGGGCAGCCTGTAGGTACATGTCAGTTAATAAATAAATGAAATGTGCAAGGTGTGTCCCCACACCGGGCAAGGGTGGGCACTTCCCCACGCCCAGCTGGCCAACGGAGGTCGCCTACGCGGGTCTCTCCTGCTCCAGCCCGGCTTGCGTGCTGCTCCGCGGCGGCGGCGGAGCACCTGGAGCGGGCTCACACGCTCCCCACGACCTGTTGCTCCGGTGTGAGAGCCCAGGCTGACTGCCGCAGGCGCGCGTGTTTGACTAACAAGCCGCCTCAGAACCCGTGGGCTGGGTCGGAACTGTTGCGCTTACCAAGGCTGCGCGTGCCGCCCGGGTCCAGGCGACCACCTCAGCATGGAGTTGGGCACTGTGCTGCTTGGGGAGGGCACCAAATGCCCCCCGTTGCTCTTGCCAAGCTTGCCCGGGTGCTCCCAGAGCCAGGTGGTGTGTGGGGCCGGCTGCAGCTGGCTTACCGCCCACCCCACGGCGACGGCGCCATTTTGGTTCACTACAGCCTCTGGTTCCTTCACCCCATTTTCCCTCAGCAATCACCAAGCCTGGATTGACGGCCGGTTTCCATGACCCCCATTTTGGCAGTCGCTTCCCAGGGCCGGCGCTGCGCCTTGGAGGGGCTGCCAACAGGTGGCAGACGTTTCAAAATCATGTTCATGTACGCAAGGTTAGCAAAAAGTAAGCCTTCCATTCTTTGCTTATTGTTTATTATTTAGGCACCAAAAGGCAGGCTGTTGAGGGCAAGCAAAGGCACAGGGGATCTGGGCCCAAGAAAACCCTGGTCGGCATCTCTTAGCTCAGAGAAAACGCTGGCGGCAAGAGCCCGGATTCAGAAGGCAGAACCCTCCGAAAGCCAAGCAAGGCAAGGTAACTTACAGCATGCAAATGCATGTCTTCTGGGGCGGCGACGAACCTCCCGCCCCCAGTCCTTCAATTCCTCAGCAGAGCCCCTTCTGACCTCCGTGAGCAGCCGTCTCGCAACTGCCCTCCTCCCGCCAGGCGTGCCCGTGGGTCGCTGGTGAACCTGCCCTGCAGACGCACTTGCCTGGCCTGGCCTGGCCCTCCCCACACGTGTGCGTGAGCTGCTTTCTCTGCCCCCATTTCTCCAGGGCCCCACATCTTTGGTGCAAGTGGCCCTGCAACAACTCTGTGCAGAGCGATGGGCGCTGTAGCAGATCGAGGGGTTCTCATTCTTTAGGGTTTCTGAGGCTACAGGAGGCGGGTCGACTCACGTGGCAGTCTGCTCGTGGGCTGCTCCTCAGTCCTCGTGGCCACGGCGGGCATGCCTGCCCTGCGCAGCTCTCAGAGCAGCCTTGCGGAGGAGGGCCGGCGCTGTGGGAGCCCTCTCTGGCCTTCGCAGCCCTCTGGGCTCCCGCTTTCCTGACCTACCGCCCGGGGAGCACTGGCGCTCCTGCGATCTCCGGCCGGGCGCCGTCAGTGCCACCTCCGGCTCCCCCGCTGGCCGCTTGGAGGGACTGGCAAGGCCTCTCGCAACTTCCTCAGCAAGGCAAACGCTCCAGAACTTCACAGAGCCAGCCGGAGGCTCGCTGCAGATCACATAATCCTGGGACTCGTCACGCACTCGAGCACCACACGTGATCCCCTTCCAAGGCTGCCCAGCCCAGGCGCAGGCCTGTGGGGAGGGCTGGGATGCAGGGGCCTTTCCCCCGAGGAAGCACAAAGCTCGCCTGTGAGTTCAGTTCCTCTGAGCACGGCAGTCGTGAGGAAGAAGGGCAAGCTGCAGCTCTTCGGAGGTGCTTTCCGGGCCATGCAAGGCATGGACAGTGGCATCACATGACCCTCATGTCGCCAGACCTCTCATCGGGATGGCGGCCAGTGGCAAGCGGGGTCCCCCAGGGCTCTGTCCTGGGGCAGATCCTGTTTAATCTTTTCATTAACGACATGGAAGAAGGGGTGAGCAGTCTGCTGATCAAATTCACAGACGACACTAAAACTGGAGCAGTGGCCACAACTGAGGAGCAGGTACTCCAGATCCAAAAGGATCTGGACAGACTATGGAAGTGGGCAGGAGACAACAGGATGGCGTTCAATCTGGATAAGTGCAAGGTCTTGCACTTGGGGCATAGGAATAGGTGTCATAAGTACAGGTTAGGGGACAAGTGGCTGGAGAGCAGCGCTTGTGAAAGGGACCTCGGGGTGCTGGTCGACTGCAGGCTAAACATGATTCAGCCATGTGATGCGGTGGTCAAGAGGGCGAACGCCACCCTTGGTTGCATAGCCGGAAGTGTGGCTTCTAGATTAAGAGAGGTATTGCTACCACTTTATACGACTCTGGTGCACCCACAATTGGAGTATTGTGCTCAGTTTTGGGCCTCTCATTACAGAAAGGATATAGCCAGGTTGGAGTCAGTGCAGTGTAGGGCCACAAGGTTGGTGGCCGGTTTGCAGGGGATGCCCTATGAGGTGGGACTGAGGGAACTGAGTCTCTTCAGCCTGGAGAAGAGGAGACTCAGAGGGGATATGTTGGCGACAGGCAGGTATGTGAGGGGGTGTCACACGGAGGTGGGGAGGGACCTGTTCTCCCCTGCAGAGGAAGGCAGGATGCGCTCCAACGGAGCAAAGCTCAGGGAACCCAGGTTCCGTTTGGATGCCAGGAAGCACTTCCTGACAGTCAGGACCCCGAGGGTGTGGAATGGGCTTCCAGGGAGGTGGCTGAGGCCCCATCGGTGCGGGTGTGCAAGGACAGGCTGGACGTCCACATGGTGGGCATGTTGTGAGCGGAGCCGGCTGGTGCCGGAGGTCAGAGCAGATGGCCCGGGAGGGCCCTTCTGACTCGCTCTGTTTCTATGTTTCTATGTGACATGCCCCCCCCCCCCCCCGCGGGGTAGCTCGCAGGTGCCACGCCGGCTGGGCGAATGCTCAGCTGCGCCTGATCCGGGACAGGCAGGCTCGAGTTGGCTGTGCGGCCCCAGGAGTGGTTTCAAGCCTGGGATCCAGCTCTCCTGGGGCCTGCGCTGCCTCGCAGGGCAGACGGGCTGGCGGGGAGGTAGGCCTGCTCCCTGCGCCCCCTTGGATGGGCGGTGGAGGCTGTGCTGGTGCTGCCTTCCCGGCCAGAGGCGCCCGCAACTTCTGCTGGTTGCCGCGCATAGTGCGCCCGTGCGTGGGCGCTCCCGAAGGCTTCACGCTCCAGGCCGGGGTGGCGCTCATGGTGGGTAGAGGGAGGCCATGCTGCAGGCAGCCACCCGGCCTGGGACCCCCAAACTCTGGGAGGGCCCTGCCCCACTGCGCTTGCTGAGGTAAAGGTGCCCCCCGCAGCTTGCTCCTCAAGGTTCATTCCTTGAGATAAGAGGCCCCCCAGCCATGCACCCTTTGCAGGCGGAGCCCCTTTTAGGGGAGAGACTCCCCAGAGGTGCCCCCAGGGAGGGCACGTGCAAGTCCCCAGGCTCCTCAGGGGCCTGAGGGCTGCTTCCCTGCCACGCCCTGTTGGCGGGCCAGCCAGGTCCCCCGAAGTCTGGCTGTGGTGGACCACCGAGAGAGGGCGCCTTGCCCAGGCTTTCCAGAACCGGAGCTGGGGGAGGATGCGGGACTAATGGATGCCATCTTACCCGAAGGGCCGGGTGGAATCCCTCGCTGCCACCAGCAGCGTCTGGGTGATCTGCCGCAGGGAGGGCTCCTACCGGGGCAAAAGAACGTGCAGTGAAATCTCTGCAGCGCTTCATAGGATTTGCTACCTATTTCGCAAAATTTCTACCGCGTCTCTCGGAGGTTTGCGAGCCTTTGAGGTGACTTCTGGACAAGGATGCAGTTTGGCATTGGCTTCCTAAGCATGATAAGGCAGTGCAGGAAATCAGATGTTTGGTCACGGATACACCTGTCCTTAAATACTATGACGTTACAAAACCGGGAACTATTCAAAGTGATGCAAGCAAAAATGGACTCGGGTGTTGCCTGCTGCAAGCTGGACAGCCTGTCGCTCTTGCTTCAAGGGCACGGACCCCTACAGAGCAAAACTACGCACAAAGAGAGAAGGAATGGCTGAGTATTGTGTTCGCCTGCCAGCGCCTTCACCACTAGCTTTATGGTCGTGACAAGATCACGGCAGAAACTGACCGTAAGCCTCCGGTATCTATCTTCAAGGAACCGCTTTTGTGGGCAGCTAAGCGCTTACGGAGCATGTTGCTCACATTGCAGAACTATTGTCTCAATGTGGTTTATAAACGGGACCTGAAATGGACATCAGTGACGCTCTTAGCAGAGCGACTGCAGCAGGTGGCACATTTGAATGTACACAACACACTGTGTGCAATGTCCAGCAGGACCGGGATGCCCTGTCACAGATGAATCATTCGGACTATTTAAACGTCACAGACCAGCGACTGCCTCAGATAAAACAGCACACAGGAATTGACGAGAGTTTGCAGGTACTTAAATCTGTTGTTCGGACTGGCTGGCCAGATTCAAAAGAAGAGGTGCCATTAATTGTGAGAGAACACTGGACTTTCAGAGACAAAATCGGCATTCAGGATGGCATACTATATAAGGGGCCACGAGTCATCATTCCTAAATCTTTGAGGTTGGAGATGTTGGAACGCATTCATGCCAGTCACATTGGCGGACAAGCATGCTATAGGCAGGCACGAGATACCCTTTACTGGCCCAACATGCAGAAGGGGATTAGAGACTTTGTTAGTCGTTGCTCAGCATGCAATGAGTATGCACAAGCACAACAGAAAGAACCCGTGATGTCACATGTGCTGCCCACCCGGCCTTGGCAAATTGTACATATGGATTTACTGAATTATGCGGGGCAAGATGTTTTATTAATTGTTGATCACTATTCTGACCTTTGGGAAATTGAGCTCCTTCTTGACCTGTCTGCTGAAACTACAATGAGGTGCTGGAAAGTACAATTTGCACCTCATGGCCTACCAGATGGGGTAATCTCGGATAATGGACCCCAATTTGCATGAGAGCAATTCAGAAGGTTTTCTACAGATTGGGGATTTGTGCATGTTGCCTCATCCCCGTGGCACCCACAAGCTAACGGCAAAGCAGAATCAGCTGTAAAGATAGTGAAGAACCTTTTCAAGAAGTCCAAGTATGATGGTAGTGACCCATGGAAGGCTGTTCTACGTTGGAGGAACACCCCGACCGAAGGCATGGACAGCAGTCCTGCACAGCGTTTGATGTCAAGGAGACTGAAGACGTCATTGCCTGTGGCCAACAAACTGCTCGAACCTTGTGTGGTTACAGGTGTTCTGGAGAAATGGAGGAAACAAATCTCCAAACTGACATATGACGTGTCTGCCAAAGACTTACCAGAACTAAGCACTGGAGAGCCAATCCGTATGAAGCCACTTCCTGGCGACAGGACTGGTCGCTGGAGACTGGGTACCTGTGTTCAGAGGGTTGCCCCTCGCTCTTATGTTGTGGATGTGGATGGCAGTCTCTACGGTCGCAATCGAGTGGATCTGCGAGTGGCAGAACAACCCACCTCACAAGCTTATGAGAGTCCTGCACATGATTCTCCGGAGGTGTTCATTGCCCCTAGTCCTGCTCGACCAAGTAAGCAATATAGAGACAAGGCTACTGTCATATCTGAAGGAAACAATGAGGATGATATAATGCAACCGCACATACCAGTAAGTTCTTCTGTACCAAACACACCAGTCAGGAAACAGGACAGTCTCTTATCACCACCTTCTGGAACTAAACAGCCTTCACCAGGCAAAATCCCTGTGGCCTTGCAAAGCGGCCGAGTTTCAAGACCTCCAGATAGACTTAATCTGCAGCCTGTTTACTAATAGTACAGTGTGTTATGTTTAAGATTGTTTGGGACCTGTTTTGAGTCTACTGGTTTACACACTGTTGAATCATATGTAGAAGAGGGGAGATGTTATGGAGTTACTATAACTACCAATGGCAATATCGCCTTGCTCTTATACTTCCTGCTCCTGTTCGGTACCTTTGACCTGGATGCAATAACACAGTGCTTCAGGACTCCTCGGGCTAACAGCTTGCAGTGTTGTCCTTTCTGTTCATGCAGCACTCGCTGCTTGGGGAGCCGCCCTCTTCCCTGGCCAGAAGCGGCCCGCTCCCCCCTGCGTTCCCCTGCTCTGCTCCGCCATGGGGACGCGGCTCCCCCAGCAGCTCAGGGCGCAGGCGAAGCGCCCGGCCTGGCCACGACCCCCTGCCCAAGGCCTGGAGGGCCCTGCTGGGAGGGGCCCGGCTCTCTGCCAGGGCCTTCCTCCCACAGCGCCGTTCCTGCGACAAAGCCGGGCTGGCCTAGGGAAGGCCTGCTGCACGCCTTGCATGGCTAAAATTGGGCACGCGGCCCCACAAGTTGAGCTGGAGGGGGGCCCACCAGCTCGGCGGCCTTAAAGGGAGGTTAGCACAGCTCCGTAAGGGGACCGCCGGCTGTGGCCCCTGGCTACTCCGTGCTCGCTCCGCATCAGAGGAAGGAAACCACTTGTTCCAGCTGCCAGAATGCGGCAGGGAACACGGCCTCCCCCACCACCCGGGGCTTCCGGTTGGGTGGCGGGATCAGGGTGGCTGGAGGCATGTAGCCCCCTTGAGCGGTTGCATGCCCTTTGTACGCCAGGGTTAGTTCAGAAAGGAGGCACCGCATGCTTCCAGGGTCGGATCCATAGGCAGCCCTGCGCGAACTGAAGGCGCAGCCTCCTTCCTGCGCCCCTCCCCAGTGAGCCCCCCACCTGTGACGTTCTCGCAGCATTAAAACAGGCCTGGCCTGCCTCGATGCCATCAGGAGGCGAGAGGCCATCGGCTGAGCCCAGCTGGCAGCCTGGGCAGGAGTCAAAGAAAGACAGGAGGCGAGTTTGGTAGACCTCTCGGAAGTGTATTGGTTTAGGAAATACAGAAATGGTGCTACTGCCGCTTATCAGCAAAGCAGGACTTGGCAGACCCACCCAGTGGCGTCCGAAGCTGGCAGGACAAGAGGCATTCGCTGAAGAACGGTTCCAGGCAGGTGGCCTTCGCCAGGACGGGTGCGGCGGTGGCGCATCGCTCTCAGGGGCAAGTGCTGGGACGGCTCCTTCAACTCCTTTGCTCCTGCTGCACTTGGGTGCAACCCTCGCAGGCAGCAGCTGACGCTTGGAGGCAGTTCCGGGGCAAGCTGCGGCCTCTTTGGGGAGCCTGATCAGCCTCACAAAAGACCTGCTCCTGCAGGAGGCAAAGACTGCCGGAAAGGGGCCCTCGGTTCTCAGCCTGAGCTAGCGGCTTCGCCCTGGGCGGGCACGCGGGTGGCCTTGCATTGGTCGGGGGCATCTGGTGCCCCCCTTTTCCCTGCCATCTGAGGACTCTCCACCCAAGGGCACTGGGCCGCCTACTACAATGCCCTTCGTCTGCTCTGCATCGCACGGCGCCCTGCTGATTCAGATGAGCTGCCCATTAGCACAGCATCGTGATGCGCACTTGTGCTCCAACACAGGCTGTTCCACCGCCCGAGGGGGAGAGCGGTTTGTATGGTGGAATGAGGTGTGGGTCTTGGGGGGGGGCAGGTGAAGTTCTGCCAGCCCTTGCAGGGAGAAAAGCACCACCAGTGCAGGCAAGAAACCGTGGTGGCCGGCAGCCAGGTACGTCTGTAGCGTGGTGCTTTCCGTGTGGACCACCCGCCGCGTTAAGGTAATAGAGCAAGTTCAGTGGCCGCTGGGCACAGCATGAGGTGCACCGCTCTGAAGGCTGCCAGCGGTCCCTAAGGAAAGGGCGGCAAGGCGCATGCAAAGGGAGAGCCCCCCAGTGCCGCGCTCGGGAGCCTGAAGGCAGCCGAACAGCTGTCGTGCCCCTGGCTGTGTGGGGCGCCTTCCACAGAGGGGCTGCCTGCCCCCGTGCCACCTTCCCCTCTCGCCTGCGTGCCCCAACTCCGAGGCACCTGCCGGCGCGTCCCACCACACGTCTGCTCACGCCTCGTGTCCTCCAAGAGCCACCAGAGCGCCACGCTGCGCCCAGAGTGCCAGGCCGGCATCATCCGGATCCGTTCTGTGGGCACAGCCGGGGGGGGGGGGGCGCAAGCACGCGCAGCTGCAGCTCAAGCAAAGCACAGCAGGGAGTGTTTTGGGGGTGGGGAGGGACAGCCACCAAGCCCCCCACCTTTTCTTGCAAAGCAGGATATGAAATGCGAGCTTCCAGAGTAAGGGGTTGTCCTTTTCTAAGCCAAGCGTTCCTGGAAGCAAAAGTCGGGAGGGTCGTGTTCTCATGGATACAAAACATTTGGATCAGCTGATCAGGAGCGGGCAGCTGGTCGCCGTCTCGCATGAATTCAGACATGACTCAGACTACCGACAATACTAAATAGGGGGCATTTCTTAGCTTTGATTTCAAATCAAAATTAGTTAAAATCTAAGTGTAATTTTAAAAATGCTGAAAATGTAAACAAGGCTGCACTCTGAACTGACCACATTTCTGTGAGAATCAAGCCGTTTCACCTCGGCTGTGCCTTTGCACATGGGGGTGGTGCTGCTCAAAACCAGGAGTGTGTCACAGGTGCAAATCTATCTTTACCAAATCCCACAGGGAAATATTAAGTGCAAAAAATTCAGCATTTGCCCCAAAATAACAGGGCCTTAATTCTGAGAGATGCCTTTCTTTTACAAACAGGAAGCTTTGGGATTAAGAGCGTACACACACACATAGCCCGATCTCAAGAAATATTAAACAACAATATTCTTAATTCTCCATTTGGCAACAATAACTCGACTTCTTTGGCTTGGTTCCTTTTTCTTCTTTTTTGTAATAGAAAACAATTCTTTTTCTTGAAAATACCCCTGAAGCATCATTTAGTGTGTGTGTGCGCATATATATAAAATAAAGTATAAATTCTTGCTGTAGAAAATAACTCTTTATAAATGTTTCTTCCTTCCCCCTGCGCGTGTGGAGAGGAAGGTGCTTCATAGGCAGGCAGTGAGCATCTCGGGAGCACCGGAGGCTTACATGATGCTGCAGTTCTGAGGCCCCTGCAGGGAGAGAAGGAGGCACAGAGGTCGTTCCCACGGATCCGTTGGAGTGCGGTCAAAGCGCTGAGTCGCAAGTGGCCACCCAGCCGTGCGGGAGTGGATGGCGCAGCGCTGGGGGGGGGCCTTCGTGGCCCATTGGGTGCACAGAGGAGACCGCGGGGGGAGCTGAGAAGTGTCGGGAAAGGGGTGCCTGGAGCAGCGGAAGCGAGGAGGGCGCGCTCCTCTCTCGCTCGTGCTGAAGTTCGGGCAACCCCCTGCAAGCAGCTTGGTGTGAGATTCAGAGGAGAAACCCCCTGCAGACCCACTCCCACAGCTGCCGCTCTTGCAAAGGGGGGGGGGGGGGGCGAAACGGTCCGGGAAGCGTTCAGAACCCGGGTCCGGGTCCAAAGGGGTCCTCCGTCACTGGAGAGGATGAAGGGGCCTTTGTTGAGGTGGAACCCCAGCTGGGGACGGGTGTGGCCTTGTGCTCCAGGCTCAGGCTCAGTTGAGTTCAGAGGAGACCCACTGAGTGGGCTGCTCCTCACCCGGTTAACCCGGGCTCCAACCCATCGTGCCCCACCACCAAGGGGCGCCCACCCGGCTCCTTCCCCGGCTGGGCTCAGTCCTGCCACAGGCCCTCCCTGTGCGTCTGCCGGGCATTCAGGCCTCGCCTGGCCCGGTTGCGTGTTGCCAGGCAAGGCCAGAGCAGCCAGCTGGGTCGCAGGCAACCTCGTCCACCCTGAAGGCCTGTCCCAGATCCCGCAGCAGCCCGTTCCTTTGATCTCCTGTGGCCCTCCCAGCGCTGGTGGGCTTGAACCCTCGTCGGCTCCAGTCACGGACATGGGAGTGGCAGTCCGGCAGCCTCAGGGAGGCCCCCGGCGTGGGAGCGCGGGATGCCGGCAGTGCTGCTGAGGAGGCACCATGGCGAGAGGCAGGACGGCAGCACCGGAGGCTCGCTCCGGCCGCGAGCCCACCTGGCAGCAGTGCCCACCCTCAGCAAGCCCCAAGCTCTGACCTGCTGGCGCGGGCTGGAGTTGCCCAGGATGTAGGAGCGGGGCAGCAGGCTCTCCCCAATGGTGGTGCCGCCGGTGCGGTAGCTGCGCGTGATGGTGAGGCTGGAGGAGGAGGAGCCGGAAGACACCGCGCCGGTCGCTGCATTGGTGCCGCCGGCCGACTTCTCCGCCGGCTGCCCACAAGTGCCGCACAGGACGGTGCGGGAGCGCAGGTTGTACTCGCCGGGGTCGCCAGAGGCGGAGCAGTGGCTCTGCGGGAGAGAGCGGCGAGGAGGTCAGGGGCCACCCTGGCGCACGGGGCCTGGGCCTGCACGCCTCCTGCCAGCGCTGGGGGACTCCAGCAGCACCCCGGAAGGGCATCCCTCAAGGCAGGAAGGAGGTGAGGAGCCTTCCCGACAGCTTTAGTGGTGGAACTGCAGCGGCTAGGAAGAGTTCAGAAGCAAGGGGTGTGACGACAAGCTGAAGCAGAAGAGAATCGTCCTGAGGGAAGGGGAAATGAGGAGGAAACTCCCTGGAAAAGGGTGGCAGGTGGAGCGGAAGAACGAGGAGACCCCCTGCCCCAGGGGAAGCAGAGGAGCGACGCAAGCACTCCGTTACTCGAGGATACGACTGGAAGGCAGCCTGGCGGGGAAGGACTAACACTAATACGGAGCGGTCCTGGACAAGCGCCTGGAGGTCAGGCAAGTATTAGCAATGACACCAAGACCCTCAAGACCAAGACAAGAAGAATGCTGGTTGTGGGAGGGGAGCGCACGCGTGCCAGGAAGACCCACGGGGTCCAGGTGTGCCACCTCCCTGGGGCACAGATGCACCTGAGAGGTTGCCCAGGCTCATACAGCCCACTGACACAGCTCCCTTCCTTTTTTCTTTTGTTCAACAAGCTGAAGGTTTGTGGCAACCCCGTGTCGAGCAAGTCTCAGTGCCATCTTTCCAATAGCATCTGCCTGCTTTGTGCTTCTGTGTCACATTTTGGTAAATTCTCACAGTATTTCATTTTTTTCATTATTATATTTGCTACGGTGGTCTGTGATCTTGATCTTCCTATTGCAGATGGTTTTGGGGCACCACAGACTGCACCCATACAAGACACCGAGCTTCATCAACGGTGTGCGCACCACCAGCTGGCCGTTCTCCCGGCTCTCTTCCTCTCCTCAGGCCTCCCTGTTCCCTGAGATACAGCAGCACTGAAACTAGGCCAGTTAATAACTCCACAACGTTGAAATTAGGCCAATTAACAGCACTACACTCTTCAAGGGTAAGGAAGAGTTGCATGTCTCTCACTTTAAATCAAAAGCTAGAAATTACTGAGCTTAGTGGGGAAGGTGTGTCGAAAGCCAAGGTAGGCTGAAAGCCTGGCCCTTGCCCTGAACAGCCAGCCACACTGAAGCAAAGGAAAAGCTCTTGAAGGAAATTAAAAGTGTTGCTCCAGGGAATACGTGCATTGTAAGACAGAGAAACTGCCTCATTGCTGATCTGGAGAACATCTGAGTGTTCTCGGTAGAAGAGCAAGCCAACCACAACATTCCCTTAAACCAAAGCCTAATCCAGAGCAAGGTCCCCATTCTCCTCAATTCTGTGGCGGCTGAGAGAGCGAGGAAGCTGCAGAAGAAAAGCCTGAAGCTAGCAGAGGCTGGTTCATGCGAGCTCAAGGAAGACGCAATCTCTGTAACACACGAGTGTAAGGTGGAGCGGCAGCTTCCCAGGAGCTCCAGCTGGCCACACCAAAACCATAGGTTTTCAATGTAGACTGGAAATGGAGATTCCTTTTATTGGAAGAAGACGCCATCCAGGTAGCGAGGGACAGGCTGGCTCTCTTGCGAGGGGCTAATGGGGACTTCAGGTTGGAGCCAGTGCTCATTTACCTTTCCAAAAAGCCTAGGGCCCTTTGTGCTAAAATCTTTATCATGCAAAGATTGTCTAAATGGGACGACAAAGCCTGGGTGGCAGCACATCTGTTTGCAACATGGTTGACTGAAGCCGTCAAGCCCACCGCTCAGGAAGAAAGGCTGAGGAAACTGCTGCTCCTCAGCAAGGCTCCTGGTCACCCAAGAGCTCTGGCGGAGATGTGCGGGAGAATGATGTGGCTGCTTCCATGGTTGCTACCACTGCCTCCGTTCCGCAGACCGTGGCCAAGGAGTAATCTAGATTTTCAAGCCCTATTACTTGGGAATGCTAGTTCCTAAGGCTCTGGCTGCCACAGACAGCGATTCCTCTGACACATCCGGGCAAAGTAAATTGAAAACCTTCTGGAAAGGATTCATCATTCCATGTGCCATTAATGGGAGAAGGCCAAAATATCAACATTAACCAGAGGTTGATTTCAACCCTCATGGATGGCTTGGAGGGGCTCAAGACCTCAGTGGAGGAAGGAACGGCAGATGTGGTGGACACAGGAAGAGGCCTAAGATTAGAAGCAGAGCCGGAGTTGCGATGGTCTCGTGATAAAATTTCAGTGGATGAGGAGTTCCTTCTTATGGGCGGGCAAAGAAAGTGGTTTCTTGAGATGGAATGTACTTCTGGTGAAGGTGCTGTGAAGATTGTTGAAATGTCAACAAAAGGTTTACAGTATTACATAAGCTTAGCTGTTGCAGCAGCGTTTGAGAGGACGGCGCCCAAGGCCAAAAGAAGCCCTGCAGTGGTCAAACGGCGACCAAACAGCACCGCACGCCACAGGGAGATCTTTTGTGAAAGGAAGTCAACTGATGCAGTAAACATTGTGGGTGTCTTACTTTAAGTAGTCGCTGAAGCTCCCCAGCCTTCAGCATCTACCACCCGGTCAGTTGGCAGCCAGCAGCATCGAGCCAGACTCTGCACCAGCAGAAGGATTTTGATTTGCTCAAGGCTCAGATGATGGCTAGCATTTTTTAGCAATAAAGCATCTTTCCATTCAGGCATCTCCATTGTTTCTGAGGCAAAATGCTCTTGCCCACTTGATAGTCTACAGTGCAGAATAAGCATAACTTTTGCATGTTTTATATGTTATATGGAAAACAAAAACTGTGTGACTTGCTTTATCATGACCGTCACTTTATTGTGGCTACTTGGAACCAAACCCTCAATATCTCCGAGGCATGCTGCGCATTTTGTATTGTTTTCAAATATGCTGCTGTGAACCTCCCAGAGAGCTTTGGCTGTTGGGCAGCATAGAAATTAATTTGTGCATTAGACCTGCATTGTAAGGTTTGGTTGGTGTGCCTGGGAGCCCCACTTCAGCCGCTCTCCCACCAAAACGGGAGCCAGGCGCATGCCCTGCCTGCCCAGGCAAGCAGCGCCCGGCGCACCTCGGCAGGTCTGCTCCACTCCAGCCTTGGCGTGCAGGGAGCGGCCTCGACCAGGCGCGGAAGGTCAGGCAGGCCAGAGGGGGCTCTTCCCCGCCCCCAGCCGGGCCAGGAAGCGAGCCGAGCCGAGATCAAGTCCAGGAGCACTCAGGACCACGAGCGACTCCTTTGCCCAGGGGGCATCATTCTTCATGCAAAGTCCACAATGGCTGCAAGTCGCGTGTGCAGAGACAGGATGCGGCTCGCACACCAGGTGTGCGCAGGTGGGCCTTGCGGGCCAGCTTGGACTCACTCCCTGCTGGACACTCGAGGTGAGGAGCCTTGGGCCGGGGGCTGTGCTGAGGAAGCCTGACAGCTTCCCATCCCCACACTGGATCCGCCCCCCCCCCCCCCCCCCTGGCCCCCCCCCCCCCCCCCACTGTTGGTCTCCACTGGAGGACCATGGGCCGGGCCCGGCCAGCCCAGCCCAGCCCGGCAGCAGCTTCCGGAGAGAACCTCGGGGGGACGCCAAACCCTCGCTGCTCCCTGGGCCAAGACATGGGCTGCAAAACTCACATGGTGGTGACGGTGGTGGAGCCCGTCTTCATCGTCATCCTCTTCATCGTCATCATTGATAATCACCGAGCGCACCAGCTTCCTCATGGCCACTTCCTGCAAGAGCAAGGGGGGAGGGAGAGGCAGCGTTGCCCGGGGCCGGTGCTTGCCTGCGGCGGAGTGGTGCGCGAGTGGCCGCTGGGCAGAGCGGGCAGTGGAGAAGGGGGGGCAAGAGGCTCCGGGCCCCGGCCCCAGCACCCTGAGCACGGGGCGTGTGGGGCCCTGCACCAGTAAGCGCAACCCAGGATGGGGTGCCCGTGGCACAGCCTGCACCTCCTCCCATCAGCTCAGTGCAAGCAGCCCCCGTGGGAGTCGCCACCCCTGCACAGAGAGGAGCGCTAGGATTTCTCAGGGCATCCGGCCCTCCTCCGCCCTGCTCCGCACTCCCATCCGCAGTGATTTGCACGCCCCTTCGAGGCCCTGCACACCGAGGCGTAATTCCATGAAACACGCAGAGTTGAGCTGTGGTTTGTCTAGCGGGTGGGAAAACGCCCCAGTGGGTCCAAATTCCTTCCGCCCCACCCACTTTGCTTGGCTCCGCTCACCCACCTGCCCTGACACCCCTTGTTGGAGTAAGGACAGGCGGAGCGCCTCCCGAGTCTGCACCGGTTGCTCTCTTGGACGGAGGAGGGAACACCGGACGAGGGACCGGATGCCAGGCAGACCCGAAGCTCTGCCGGCGGGTGCGCCCCCCCTCTCCCACGCTGCTCTGAGAAGGGCCCCCGCTGCCACCAGGCTTACCTCTCCGGTGGAGGTGAGGAGGGCGGTGCGCAGGCTGTCTCCGGATCCCCAGGAGCTCTGGTTCTTCCACACCATGTCGGTGGGAGGGTTGTGGGCCACACCGGCACCCGCGGCCCAGATCTTGGGGGAGGAAGGAGCAGGTCAGGACGTCCTGCAGCAGCTCTGCTCACACCTGGGGAGCCCAAGGCGGGGACTGCTCTCCAGGCACCTGCCTGAGTTCACTGCGCTTGCTCTGTCACCCGCCCCTTGCCCCATCCCAGGAAAATCAAGCTTCCGAGCGCCTCACCGTGACCAGCTGGCCAGCCTTCAAGGTGAACTTGGGGGGGAACCTGTAGCAGAGCGGGGGCTCATCTCCATTCTGGCGCTTGATCTGCCAGTTGCCCAGGGACTGGTCCTGCAAGGAGATGGGCGGAGAGTGTTGCAGGTCCCGAGGAGAGGCTCCATGCCGCGAAGCCCTCGGAAAGGGACGCTTTAACTGGGCCGCTGCGCTGAGCGGCCTTATGGATTTCCCCCGGTGTGGATGTTGGCCGCTCCTCTGAGGTACCAGCTCAAGCTCTGCCGTGGCAGCAGCTGCAAGAGCAGCCCCACATGGCCGGTCGGCTGGCCCTTCCCTCCGGCGGGAGGCAACCCTTTGCCCGGCCTCAGTTCCCGGCCTTCGCACAGCCCAGTGAGGAGTCCTGCCAGCGGCTGCGGAGAGGCAGGGGCGAGCAGTGCCCCCCGGCCCCGCCGGAGCACCCACCTCGTTAGACTTGTTCCTGAGGCGGACGAACTTCCCCTCCAGGTCGACCTCCTCCACGGCCACGCGTCCGCTGGTCCTGGCGTGGTGCGAGAAGCTGGTGCGGCTCTCCCCGTCCTCCAGCTTCCTCTTCTTCGCCGAGCCTTGCCCAGACGTGTGGGAGACCCGAGTTCGGGTACCGCTCTTTTGAGAGGAGGGGCTGGGCGAGAGACGCAGCCTGCAGGCAAGGGAGAAAGAGGTGCAGTCTGGAGGGAGGGAGGGAGGGAGGGGGCGGGTGGGGGCAGCCCCGGCCCCTCCGGAGTGGCATCGCCACGTGCCGCCTTTGTGCCCGGCCTGCTCTCGCTCGCTCGCCCAGCCTGGCTCCCCCTTGCAGCTCCTGCTGCAGTTTGGCCTGCGAACCCAGCTGACCGCTGCGGGCACAGGCCCACCCAGTGCTTTTCAGAACCGAACACGCACCTCCAGAGTGGCGGCCCTTATCCAGCGACCGCCCCCACCAGCCATCAGCCCGCCCTCTGCAGCGAGCTCAGTTTTCGGGGGCCAAAGCCCCCCGAATTTCTCCAGGCGCTCCCTCACATAACCCCTGCCCCCCCCCCCCCCCCCCCCCCCCCCCCCCCCCCCCCGAGCAGCTTCCGGTAGGCATTGATCTCCATGTCCAGGGCCAGCTTGATGTCGAGCAGCTCCTGGTACTCATCCAGCTGCTGCTGCATGCGGGCCCGCATGTCGGCCATTTCCCGCTCCTTGTCTGCCAGGATGCGGCGGCTGGTCTCGCGCTCCCGGGCAAGGGCGTCCTCCAGGTCGCGCAGCTTCGCCTCCTTGGCAGAGAGCTGGGAAGGAAGCAGGACAGGGCTGGCGGCTGGTTCACAGCGGGGGGAGCACTGGGCTCTGGACAGAGGCGGGAGCTGCCCTGAGACGGTGCCCGCGGCAGTTCCCTCCGCAACAGCGACTGAGATGCCTGCAGAAATGACTGGGCTCTCGCAGGGCGGCCCCTCCCTCGGACACTTTAGACCAAGGAGCTAGAACAAAAGTGCTTCCCTAAGATGCCTTAGAATTAAGTGGGCAGCATTTAAGTGCACTGCAGAGCACGATGTGCTTATTTTGCTGAAGGCACCAGCTTTATTTATTGGAATAGAAAGGAAAAGGAACCTGAGAGAGAGAGAGCTGCATGCAAACTGGAAGGTGATGGCTGCCTGCCCCCTCCCCGCTTCCCAGCACCTCACCTGCTTCTGCAGCTGGCTCACTTGGGCTGACAGGCCATCGATGCGGATGCGGGTCTCATGCAGCTCCTCATGGGCCGCCCCTGCCATGTTGCTGTTCCTTTCGGCCGACTGCTTGGCGTTTTCCAACTGAAAAGGGAGGTTCCCGCAGTGAGACACAGAAGGAAGTGTGCAGACCGGGCGCTTGAGAAGCAGTGCTGACCGCTGCCGTGCCCCAGAACCCGCAGAGGCTGCACAAGATGCTGCTGGGGGGGGGGGGGGGCTTGGCTGTCTCCCCCTGGGAGAAAGGCCATTTCCCCTGCTGCTCCCGGCACTAACCAGCTTCCCAGGGCACCCTCTGCAGCAGATGCGCCTGGGACACCTGGGCAGTGCCGGCCTCAGTCCCCTGCCAGCTCTTCTGCTGGCAGAAACCCCTGTGGGCTAAAAGAAGCAGGAGGGCATGGCACGGCTGCCTTCATTTCCCAGCATGCTCCTCTGCTCCCCAGCTCTGCCCCTTGGCCTGGAACTCCCACACCGGCCTCCCCCAGCCTGGTGCCCTGCAGACTACAACTCCCATGGCTGAAAGATGTTAAAAGGCCACAGCAGGTCCTTGCGGGGGGGGGGGTGCTCTTCTGTGGCCCGCGTTGCCGTGCAGCAGGCGTGGCCATGTGTGCTGGAGAGCGACCCTGGCTGCCACTGCCCAGAACCAGCAGCTGCAGCCAGCCGCACCGCCCCGTGCCCAGCACTCAGCGACCCACGTGGCTCAAAGCCACGTTCCACTAGAAACAAGAGGAAGCACATGAAAGCAGCTCAGCCTCTGCCGCCCTGCAGAGCAGAAGAGTCCCGGGCGCATTCATTCTGCGTTCATCCTCTTCCCGCAGCCCTGCCCTGCCCTGCCCTGCCCAGCCCCTGGGAGGGGGCCCACCTTGGCGCTGTACGTCTTCTCCAGCTCGTCCTTGTACAGCTTGACCTGGGCTTCATGCTGGCTCCGCAGGTCCTGCAGGGCGTCCGCCAGCTTGCTCTCGAACTCGCGCTGGCGGCCGTTGTCAATCTCGACCAGGCGGGTCTCGTGGCGCCGTTTGGTCTCGCGAAGCTCCTGCAGGCGAGGAAGGGGCAACCGCTGAGCTGAAGATTTCGGGGGGGGGGGCAACCTCCGAATTCCACCCGCAGATGCACCTTGCAAAATTAAGACCAGCTGCACCCACACACCTCCTTACCTTGGACTGTGTCGCTGTGTGTTGGCAGCGACAGGTAAGAGCCCTGCTACAACACACATACCCCCCCACACCGACACCTCAGAGCGCAGGCAGACACACTGGCACGCCAACCTGCGCCTGCCAAGCCCGCTCCTCGCCGGCCAGCTTTCTCTCTCCACGGCTCACAGCCCCACGGCGTGGAGAGCGCCCCCGCTCCCAGAGCAGGAAGGGGGCCGCCTGCCCGCTCACCTCGCTGTAGATGTTCTTCTGGAACTCCAGCTCCTCCTTCAGGGTCTGCAGCCTGTTCTCGGCGTCCACCCGCCGCAGCATCTCGTCCTGAAGTTGCTTCTTGATCTCGGCCAAGGCAGCTTCCAGCTGGGGAAGGAAGCGGTGGGAAGAGACAGGGAGACCCTTGGTCACTGTGAGGGACGGCAGGCAGGAAGGAGGCTCGCATGGCCCACGCGGCGGCTTCATGACCACCAGCCAAACGCGCAGGACGTACTCGGGGGTGCTGAGGCACAGTTCCCACCCAGCCGGGGCTGACGGGCCAGCAGGTGCTCCGAGTCCTCGACTGACACAACTCGCCGGGGCTGCGCGCCGGCGGGGTCCCCAGATGCGGCCCGAAAAGGGTCCTGTGGACACTGGGGAATGGCTGCTGCCAGTCTGTGTCGAGAAGCCAGGCGGAATGGACCCATCTGGGCTGGACCCAGTGCAAGGCACATCCATGTGTTTCTGATCTGCAGGAAGCACACAGGGCACAGTCCTTCTGGGGCCCTTCCAGACTGCAAGGCCAAGCACGGCCTTGGCTCGCTTGGAGACTTTCCCGTCTTTGCTCATTATCTACGGGAAGCACCGAGGCCCGGCTGTGAACAACACACCCCACAGCGAGACCCCACCAGGCACCACGCACATATTCGCAACATGTGGAATCACACACTCTGCGCATAGTGTGGGTTCTACTGCCATCTGGTGGCCCAGGATAAAGAGTTGCCAAAAACCTTCCTCTTTGTGGGCAGGATTAGAACATCATAGAATATTAGGGTTGGAAGGGGCCGAGGAGGCCATCAAGTCCAGCCCCCTGCCAGCGTGGGATGCCAGTCCACCATCCCACTCAGATAACCACCTAGTCGCTTCTCGAATGTCTCTGCCCCACTGCTCTCGGCAGCTGGTTCCACGGTCGTGCCACTCCGACAGTTGGGAAATTCTTTCTGGTGTCTAGTCTAAATCTGGTTTCTAACTTAAGTCCATTATTCCATGTCCTGCATTCTGGAATGAACACGAAGAGAACTTGTTCCTCCTCTTTGTGACAGCCTTTGAGGTACTTACAAAGTACTATCATGTCTGCCTTTGGTCTTCCCTGGCTGAGGCTGAACACGCCCAGTTGTTCCCCTCCATCCTCTAGGGCTTTGCCTCCAGTCCCTGGATCATCTTCCCTGTTGCTCTCTGTACCCTTTCTAGCTTTTCTGCATTTTTTAAACTTGGGTGCCCAAAGGGTTACAGAACTGAACACAGCACTCCAGGTGAGGCATGGCTAGTGCTGAGCGGGGGGGAACGAGCCCTAAGATGTTCTGGCAGTGACAGCATTTGCCCTTCTTGCAGCTGCATCACGCTGTTGGCTCATATTCAGCTTGTGCTCTACTGCAACCCCAAGGTCCTTCCTATCTCAGCATTGCTGAGCAAAGTGTTTCCCATCATATGATACATTTGGCTCCTTTTTCCTGGGTGCAGAACTTGTCGTTGGTCCCCATGGAATTTCATTCTGTCGTTCTGACCAGCATTCTAAGCTACTGTATCTCTGTCTTCCAGGGTATTTGCTATTCTGCTCAGCTTTGTGTCATCTTCAAATTTAATTATCATTCCTTGTTAATATGTTTTATGTATTGTAAGCCACCTAGGAAGGCCTATAAATACATATACAAATAAGTTCCTTGTAATTCCTCATCTAAATCAATAAAAATGTTGAAGAGTACTGCTCCAAGCAGAGAACCCTGGTGCGCTCCACCTGCCACAGCACCCCAGTTTCGGAATGTGCCATTGATGAGCACTCCCTCACTCCAATCTTGCAGCCAATTGTGGATGCAACTAATGGTCGCATGATCTAGTCCACTTTTTTGCTGGTTTGGTGAGCAGGGTGTTGTGGGGCATTTTGCCGAAGGCTTTGCTGAAGTCTAGACAGATTAAGTCCCCCACTTCCTGGTGAGCACTGGGCCAATGCTGGGTACCCTCACCAGGAACCCAGACCCACAGCCCCAAAGAGGGAGCTGAGCCCAGGGGACCCCGTGATCCCCTTGCCCTTCCCGAGCAGCACCCCACCAACTCACCATGCTGAGCGTGGCTGCCGAGGCCAGTGGGGTGCATCCCTGGGGTGGTCAGCCAATGGGGAGCCACAGGCTGGCTCAGCTCCCTTGGTTCTTGGCAGCCCCTGGTGCAAGCAGCCACAGACAGCCGGCCTGAACAGGCAGCTGCATCAGAGATGACCCAGAAGCAAGAGATTTCCCAGCCAGTGCAAAGGAACAGGGCCCCTACCTTGGCCACCTGACCCCGCAGCTCACGCAGTTCATTTTCCAGGTTGCGCTTCTCCCCCAAGGCAGTGGTGAGGGCTGCTTCCTTGGAGTTCAGCAAGGCCTCGACGTCCTTCAGGCGGCCCTGGGCATTCGCCAGATCTGCTTCTTTCTTGGCATTCCTGAAACAGAGACAAAGGTGCAGCCATGAGCCTAGACTGCAGAGACCTTCCTCTCCAAGGCCTGATGCCTCAGAGCTAAGCACTTCTTCCGCGTGTTACAGCATCTCGCATTACGTGCAAAGGTGAAATGACTGCCCGGTCTCCCCACGGGGACTTCTGAGCGATCAGAGCGAGCACTGGCCCCGCCCAGCATCCATTTCGAGCGTTCGTTGGCCCAAGTCCCAGAAAGGCATGAGGCAACAGCAACACCCCCCTCCTCCGTCTGCCCTCAATAAATGGCCTCCAGAGGTAAGACTGCCTTGGAATGGAGAGGCTTGATTAAGCCTCCAGGCTCATGGCAATTGGGGCCATGCCCCTCTGCCAGTAAGTTGCCCCTTTTGAAGACCATCTAAACCTGCAGTCCTCATAGCTCGTGCCAACAAAAGCAGAGGGTTCTGTGCTGTGAAGTGCTCCTCCCAAACCTGTGGCCCAATCATTTTGTGGGGTGAACAAAATCCACACCTCACACCATTTCCTGAGCTCTCTGAGGTCCCTACCTGGTTTTTTCAGAAATGGAGGAAACTGGAGGCGTGAGAGGTGGTGCGAGCGCAACCCGGTGGGTGCAGCCCTTCCTCCAGTGCCCCAGACTCCCTCGGAGGAGGTGGCCAAGGCAGCCCCTGCGGAGCCTCGGGGCTCCCCGCTCTGGCACGGGCGCAGGGCCCCGCAAAATTCACGGGCAGGCAGCCCCAGTAATGCGCCAGCACGTCTGCCCGTGCGCCCCGGCACACGCGGTCACAGAGTCCACACGCCGGCCTGAGGAACGCGCGGAACCCAGCGAGAGCGAGCCCGCACCCTCAGAAGGCTGCCCACGTTCTTCGCCAGTCCAACAGCGGCTCCCTCCCTTGCTCTGCCTTGGAGAATTTATCCCGGCAGATTTGAACCCTGGCCAGGAATGGCCACTGACCTGGTGGCACAAGCCCAGCTGCTCCCGGAACGCTCGCCTTTTGGCCCATCCGATCGGCTCCCATGTAACTGGGGGCTCAGGGCCAGGTGGGGGGATTTGCCTGGAACCCACCCACTCCAGAGCTCCGGGTTCCGGCTGGCAACCGTTCTGAGGTCTTTTCCAGCCCAGAAATCCAGGATCCTTTTCACTGAAGAGGCTCCCGGATGGACTCGGCCACGGATGCTTTTGAACTCAGCCCCCTTTCTCCGACCATGGAGCAGCACCCAGCACGGCTCCTTCCATGCCAGCTGCGAAGGGGGATGGGACTCCAAGTGCAGCGGCCCCGCTCCGAGGGTGGGGCTCTGTCTCAACCTTTCAAGCGGGACTCGAGGATCCCACCGCCCCCGATGCTGTGCAGGCTGCGAGCTGTTCTGCCCAAGATCGAAGGACTGGCAAGCCTGAAGGAGTCGGCCCTGCCCCAGTCAGGCAGAGGGCCCTTCTCTGTGGATGCCGACCCGTCATCGGAAAGGGCAGAAAAGCGGCGGCTGACTCTGGGTCCCTCGTAGCCAGAAGGCCAGTGCAGGCGAGGCCTGCGGGCCACTCTCCCCCAGCCTGGTCCCTGCCAGCGGTTTGGGTTGCCACTGGGCCCAACACCGGGGCGCACGGCCAGGGAGCAGGACGGAAGCTCAAGACTAACAGGCAAATGGCCAAGTATCAGTTAATCAGGCTGAATGAGTTCAAATCTCCGGGCCCAGCAAACTCCATCCTTGAGCAGCGGGCAGGAGGACTCCCAAAACCACTGTCCATTACCTCTGAGAAATCACGGAGGACGGGGAAGTGCCAGAGGACTGGGGAAGGGCTCATGCTGTCCCCGCACTCAAGAAAGGAAAAGAAGAAACACCTGGGAACCTCAGACCAGTCAGTCTGGCATCAGTCCCTGGGGAAATTCTGGAGACGATGAAGCAGTCAGTCTGCAAGCACCTTGAGAGCAGTGCGGGGGTTGCTAGAAGCCGACATGGATTCCTCAAGAACAAATCAGGCCAGACTAATCTGAGTTCTTCTCACTGGAAAACTTCCCTGATAGACTACAGAAATGTGGTGGGTACAATTTATCTTGACTTAAACAAAGCTTTTGACCAAGTGCCCATGACCTCCTGGTTAGTTAAGCTAGGCTAGATGGAACAATTATGGTGGATCCGCAGTTGGCTACAGAACTGGATTCAAACTGGGGAAGAAGAACAAGCAGGGCCCTGCAGGACTCAGGCCCCGGCCAAGGGCTCTTCTGCACTGTTTTAAGGACTTGGATGAGGAAATGCAGGGAGCGACGACACACGGCTGGGTGGGGTGGCTCATACTCTGGACGGCAGAAAGAAGATTCAGCACGATCTTGATAGGTTGGAGCCTGGGCTGAAAGCAACAGGATGAAAATCAGAAGGGACAAATGCCACGTTCTGCCCCCAGGAAAAAGAAAATGCATCATTACAAGGTGGGGAACACTTGGCTCGTCAGTCCTGCAAGTGAAAAGGATCTTGGAATTGTTGTAGGTCACAAGCTGAATAGGACGCAACAATGAGATATGGTTGCAGAAAGGGCAAACGCTCTCTTAGGCTGCATTGGAAGAAGCATCACTTCCAGATTCCACGAAGTACTAGCTCCCCTTTACTCAGCACTGGTTAGGCCTCATCTGGGTACTATGTCCAGGTCTGGACAGCAGAGCTTAAGAAAGATGCAAGCAAGCTAGAAGTGTTTAGAAAAAGGAGGAGGATTTGGAGATTGGAAACAAAGCCCTTTTGAGGAGAGATGGAAAGAACTGGGCATGTTTAGTCTTGCAAAGGAAAGGCTGAGTGGAGACGGGACAGCATTCCTCAAGTACTGGGAAGGCTGTCCCAAAGAGGCAGGCCAGAGTCTCTTCTCCATCATCCCAGAGTGCAAGACGTGGAATAACGGGCTCAAATTACAAGAAGCCAGATTCTACCAGATTTTTTAGGAAAAATTCCTGCCTGTTTGAGCAATATGACAGTGGAACTAGTGACTGAAGGAGGGAGGTTGTGGGCTCTCCCATGCTGGAGGCCCACAAGAGGCAGCTGGACGGCCATCTGAAACCGGGGGGCTGCACCCGATGGCCCTCCAGAGCCTTCCAGCACTACGGATCTATGATTCTTCGTGGGCAGCCGTGCAAGGCGATCTGCGCTCCTCGGGGAAGGCCTTTGCTGCCGCGAACACAGCCAGGGCAGAAAGTGCCACGTCATGCCCGCATCCCCCAGGGGGCACCGAGGAGGGGAGCGCAGCAGCGCAGCAGAGCAAGGAGCAGGAGATGCACCCAGGCAAAAAGAACCACTGCTCCACAGACCAAGGAAAACTGGGCCTCAGGAAGGTATTTTTAGTTTGCTTTTGTTTCAGGAGGTACGTAGAGGGAGAAAGCTATAAATAGGGTTGAGCAAAGAAAATCTGAATGTTTTTTCATCTGCTGCAATCCAAGTTTCCATTCCTTGGTCACATTCTTTCCCCTCTTTCTTCCTCCCTTCTGCACCAGGACAGATGCAGCCGGGAAACAAAAATGCAGCTGCTTCAAAACACACACACACAAGCGGCACCCATGAAACAGATGACGGGAGCAAGTGGTGAGATCCTGGCCGTTGTCGACAGAAGCAGCCGGGGCAGCTGGACAATGGCAGCCTGGAGGGCCACCTGTGGCAGGAGCACTCTGGGCCACGCGGAGTTCGGACAGCACCGCTAGCGCCAAGGAGCCCGGAGGAAGCTCATCTAGGCTGCTGGGCAGATGGGCAGCTTGGGACGTGGTGCCCCTGGGCACACGCAGAGTGGTCCTCTCTGGCTCGAGGAGCTCAGCTAAGCCCCATGAATCTAAGCAGCTGCCTTGCACAGAATTAGACCACCAGCCCTTTCCGCCTAGCACGGCTGACCTCACAGGGGCTCAGCCTGGGACTCTGGGCATGCAGAATGCGAGCTGCGCACATCCTCCCAGCTGAGTTAAGGCAGAGCAGAGAGTTTCGGCAGAGCAGAGAGTTTCGCTCCTGCAGCGGGAAGCCGCCCCCCGCCCAGCGGATCCCTCGGCCATCTAGCGCAGCCCTCCTTGCAGCCCCGTCAGGACGGGGGCTTTCCAGCTCAGGGGACTGGAGGCGTGGCGAGTGAGCCAGGGAAATTTCTGCATGCAAAGCAGGGGTCCCACCGCACAGCTTCTCCAAAGTGATCTTCCAGCAGGCCAGTGGCTCCTGAAAGGGCCCTGCAGAGCGGTAGCTCCCCCAACACCCCCCCCGCCGTGGAAATCTTTAAGGTAAAATACCTGAAATGCGCTCCTCTAACCTATGAACTGTTGCAATAAAGAGGTCGCTCTTTTCCCCGAGGGCACATGAGAAGCATTTCCTCAAATTCCAGTTAGCAAGGAACAAAGATCGAAGACACCTTGCTTGGGTGGAGCGGGGAATCAACCCACTCGGCAATCCCGAAGGACTCGCTCGCCAACGGAACAGCAAGGCAGAAGCGATGCCGTATGCTACCGAAGCAGCTGCCTTAAATCCCCCATAACAAATGCCACCAGGAAGCCCGAGGGGCTGCACAAACGCACGCCATTCGGCGGGGAGACACCGCAGCAGCCCAGCACCATCCTGCCTGCACGTCTGACGAGGTGCCCAGCTCTTCTCCTGGGGAGGCTCTGGAAAGCCTGGCCGGTGTTTACAGTGGAAACCAGCCTGGGGCTGGAACCCTCCGGTGCCGCCCCCCCTTCCCAAGCCATTTCGCAACATCTAATGCACGGACTCCGCTTTTTAGTGGGGAGGTGAGTGCATAGTTCATTCCAGGAAGGGGGAAACAAAATCTGACTTGTTGACCCACAGACCCTTCAAATGGAAAGGGGACTACTGGGGGTGGAGGGGGAGGGAGCCACAAACCACAGGAACACAGCAGTTCCCAATTTGCACGCACATGCTGGACAATGCCGTGTCTGTAAGAACAGCGCTTTTATCCGTATATGGCGCTCTGTCTTACAAGCAAGGGCACGTCTTACACACGACTAAAACGCATTCAGATATGAAGCACGGGCAGCTCTGCTCGCACTGAGCTG